CCCACAACCAAAAGACCAAGGGCACAGATCAGCAGTGGCGTTTGCAACTTCTTATCTGACATTTTCTCTTTAAACAGCAGCTGTTTTGAACAAGCGGTGCTTTGTTTATAGCTTAGACTTCTGCAGTCTGGATCTTTTTCTTTCCCTTTCTTAACGAGAAATATAGCGACTGCCCCCTGCTGGCATTATTTCTGTCATGCAGGTGCAGAACGTATGTGCTAGTCAGCCGTTGGCCGTAGTCTATGTGGTGTGCTCAAGTGTCACTTTATCAAACTGACTGGCCCAGATAAAGCCAAGGTGAGGTGACGCAGCAGTCAGCCTTCGTTTGTGCCAGTTCTTTCAGGTCGGCTTGGTGCGTCTTTGCCCTAAATTTACAAATCCACTGCCTAGAACATTTCTGTTTTATTCTTGTCTCATCCTGTTCACTCACGTTCTAGTTTTATTGCTGTAGTGCCACAGAGTCACATTTCTGTGACTAACTGTTCCCTCTGGGCCACCGTAGATGATGTCTGTAGAAAAGATTTTTTAGAAGAGACAGTCTAACATGCAGCCTGAAGAAACCCAAAATCTGTCAGTAAGAACAAATCTGTGCCTCAGACTGAAACCCACTTCTTCCGTTTGAATGAAAAGATTCAGCATCATGCTTTTCCTCACTATTAAGTGAGCTAGTACTGCATAATTATTCAAATGTGTCAATTATTAGAAAAGCACTTAAGGGTTGGCTGTCGAGCGGTCAGAAAGCTTCAGAAACACACGCACACACCTTTCAGGTGCACTACCATTATTAGTCCTTCCCACATATGCAGTATTACCAAGCAGTTAAGTACCTACTGGTGTGACATATTTCCAGTAACAGCCACAGTGCCCAAGTGCCTGTTAAGACTGCAGGCACATCTTGATTTATCAGCACTCTCTTGGCCACACTTGGGTTCCAGCTCAGATCATTTGTTGGAACAAAGAAATAGGATCAACTACACAGTTTTACAGTTGTAGTCAGATGATTAAAAAAAAAAAACAAACAAACAAAAAAACACATTTAGGAGCGGAGAGGAGTACTGCAATTAGTAAAGCAATAGAGTTATCTAGAAATCTGCAGGTGTAGCCTACTATAAGTCTTTGATAAGAGAATGTCAGATATTGAAGTTGAAATATGCGATAATAATCTTGTCAGTCTCATTAAGAAAAAATACTGAAATATATGAATGAACAATGACATGTTGAATTCACCATGAACAAGTCTGCCAATTACTGCTGGTCCTAAAACCAGCCTAGTCCGTGACCAACAACAGCTCGACAAGGGCGGAGCAGCAGACCAGGGTGAAATGTGGGATACGCTCAGCTATGAGTAGAAGCCGCATTAGGAAAAGTGCACATCAAGTGCAGGCTAGGTATACTGCATGTTGGTATGAACAACGGGAAAAATAAAAATGAAATGATTATGACTTTAGGTGTGCAAATTCACATTTTCCACCCAGTTTATTACACATGATAATCAGACTGGGCACATAACATCTATAAGGAGCTGCAACAACAAGATGCAGAAAAGCTGGGGTTTCCCCCTAGAAGTAAACTGATTTAAGAGAAATCTTAGGGAAAAACATTAAGGTTTACTGAGGTGGAGTCTGAGCATCCACAGTTTGCACCCTCCTAACAGGACACTTGGTTCAGATTATCCATAATTTATCAGCTCATTCGGTGACAAACTCTGAAACTGGACAGTTTGGCTCTGCAGTATGATGACAGCAGCTGTACTGCTGCACACTTCATCACTGGTCATTGTTTTATATCCCACTGCATGATCATTCTGAATCCATTTGTGTGCAATGAGTACCATACTCATCACAGACCAAGAAATCTGGACATACGCAAAATGATGACACAGACTCAAAAGGAACCAATCAGCTTAATGCAACCGGTAACATCCAAAATGAAGGCTTTTAATTGGTGAGCAGAAAGTACGTGCAGGAATAATAAAAATTTAGACTGACAGATTTTAAATGTTTTGTTCATTTTTGTACAGTTTATTGGATTATATAATCTTGATCTACTGCTAGAAAATGTAAAGGGAAATCATAAGCACAACATAAACAGTGACTATAGTATGACTGTCATATCACAGCAGCAGCCATGCATTGTGAGATACAAGGCTGCACGTCACTTCTGACGGTCAACAGCCTTTCCAGGTTCTTACCAGGCAGGAAATAGATATTGCTAGGAAAATTAGTTTCACTTCATTGAGCTGAAGTTCAGTCTCTGCTTGGTGGAGACAAACTGTTAACTGTTCAGTAACTGAGAAGTATTGCATAACACAAACACGAACCAGCCAAAACTACACAATGAGTTGATAAGAATGCATCCTTTGTGAGGGTTTGTTGAACAAGAAGGAAGCGGGGGAATATTTCTGACCATGTGAGCGCATAACCAGTACAGACCTTCATTAATTAATAGAAGTGTGCGTTATCTACTCTGCAATTTCTCTGTATCCTTGTTATTTAAATATAAGGAAAAAATGCAGGAGGACCAAGATGGAATTTCTGTATTTTACATTGTCTTCATGTTCATGTTCATATTACAGATCCAAGTATGACTGCATGCATACGTTTGCAGAGAAGGTAATCAATATGTCACAGTATCCGTTGTGATATTTTTACACTTATTTCTGATTTTTTAGGTCCAGACACTATTTTGAACTTACTTACTTACAAAATATTTTATTATTGTTATTGTAGAATAAAAAAAAAGTTTTACAAACAGCTTATTTGGATTTTTTTATATTTTGGAAACAACCCAAAAAATTGGAATGCTTGCAATATTTTAGAATATGTTTCTAAAATATTTTCCATTAAAGATGGTTTCTAAGATATTTTCACAAAGCAGACAGCAAAATCAAGAAAATAAACTGCATTTTATTTTAAGTGTTTTAAATATACATCTTACAATAGACTATGTTTAAGTTCAATAACATTTTTTAAATTTAATTTGGAAATTAAAAAAATATTTTACATGCACCAGTCAATTGGTGCAAAAATTGATTTTACAATGTTAATTTTTTTTTTTATATTTCCCAAAATATTTTATATGCTTTTAGTTTTTATTTTAAAATTATATTGTTATATTTATGTACTTGTTCATTTAAGAATTTGAGTCTACAAAAATATAAGACAAAGAGCAAATGACAAATCACATGCTGCTGCCTCCAACAGCAACAATCAGTGCTCTGCCTCCGAGCATGTGAAGTACACACACACTCACACAAAACCATGCTAGCAAACATTCCTGCAGTAAAACATACATACACGCATGCATGCACGCACACCCAGCTGTAATAAGCAGGCTGCCTTTCTGAAAGAGGATGGCAGCAATTATGTAACCACTGGATCTCTCTCTCTGTGTGTGTGTATGTGTCTGTCTCTCACTCACACACACACACACACACACACACACACACACACACACACACACACACACACTTGAGGCTGCAGGAACAGTCTGTATGATATGAACTATAAAATGAAAACCCTGCTACAGAACAGAGGCAATCTGAATCAGACAGACCATAGTTTCTCTCACACAAACCACAGAGGATCTAAACTTGAGCTGAATTGCTGAAAATGAATCCTATAATGTCAAATCCAATCTGTTTCCTTCACTTCTCCCACAGCAGCTGCCCTTTTAGGAGGCAGGTTGAAATGTGAGGCTGCAACTAACGACTGCTTTTATTTTCAGTTCATCTGTGATCACCATTTGTTGTGGTCTCTCAGAGCCCAAGACAACATCTCCAGATTTCTGCCTGACCAACGGTCCAAAACCCAAACATATTGGTTTACTGTGCTATAAAGCAGAGAAACCTTGGAGGAGATGACACCAGAATATTCTCGGCTGTCACCACACTTATTATCTAATACAAGCTATACCAGGGATTCACAACAACCCTGTTAGACTGCCAAAATAACTTGCATAACATCAGCCTCATCAGTTATAGAGGGCATCTCCGGGAATCAAATTGCAAAAGCCTATGATTTTCTTTCAGCTTTCCACTATTTAGGTTATCTTTTTAAAAGTAATGTCAAATATTCAATCAAATGCAAAAGCGAGGCAGTCATTAGCAGCGTTGCCAGACAGAACAGCTTCCCACCCAGTTGGTCTAATTTGTTTTTTTTTTTAATTGGGCAGGAAAATTTGATTTTAACAGGCTGTTGTAATTTGGCCTACTTTCAAAAACTGCTTTTTCTGAGATCTTTAAAATGTAATGGAGAAAAAGGTGTGGCAAAGACACTGTGTGAGGTGAAAGGGGCAAGTGCATGCAGGTTTTCTAGAAACAACAGGAAGTTAGTTATTATAGTATGGCTGCTTATCAACACAATCAACAGTTGAAGCAGCGATGGCCGTTAAGGTGGGCTACTTTAACACCACTAACACCCAAATAAAAATAACTATTTCACCAAAAACTGAAACATTTTGAGTCTCATAAACACTGATGTTGAGGTCACACGATGTTAAGGTGGAAGTGTGGCACTGAATTGCATACAACTGTACAGGTATACTTAATAAAGTGGCCGGCGAGTGTACACTTATACTATCATCATCATAACCAAATATCCATAAATCCACTTAGAAATAATAGGGGGAAAATAGCCCTTCATATAAGTGCACATTAAACTAATCCAGTAATAGTTGTCAGTGCATCCAAACAAGAACTGATTACAGCTGATGTGGTGAACTTAGCTGTCCCAGTGGAACCAAATCTAGGCTAAAAGAAAGGCCCATGCCTACTAGTAGTAGACTGTGATATCGGGCTACATTTTTGTCAGTCAAATCAGGCAACACTGGTCACAAGCCCACAGATGTATTTTGGTGAGGATGGAAAGTTACAAGACAAAATTTCAGAGCAAAGAGGTTTAAAGTCAATATTTAATCTTATTTCCTTTTTTAAAATAGCCTCCCTTCGCTGCCATTTTGGACACCTTCAGAAACATGCAACAGAAAGGTTCCTGTCTTACCTGTGCAGTGGGTGTAATGTTTTCCTGCCACGCTGTCCAGCATGGCGAGGGTCAGGTTGTCAGGTGTGTCTGGATGAAGAGGCGTCCCTCCTCCCCCGCTGCTGCTGGTCTCTGTGACCAGGCTCGCCTCAGAGCTCTGTTCATCACTGGACAGAGATGGACTGCGGATGTCTCCTCCTCCAGAACCAGACCCGGACCCAGAGCCATTAGCACTGCTGGGCAGCGTGACCAGACCGGTCCCTGTAGCTGAGGGCCAGGAGGGAGGGTCCTCACTGTCAGGGCTGCTGGGGGTCAAAGGACAGATTTTACACTTTGTCTATAAGGCAATATCTATTCTGCAGAATTTTATTAAAAATGTATACTGTCAGTCCATTTATGTAATCAAATGTGTGTCTTCCACTTCTACATGCACTTTCTGCCATGAACATTAATCCAAAGTAAAGGGCCATGTGACAGATTTCATGGCGAGCACAGTCCAACAAGCAGAGGACCATTAAGGGCCCATAGCTCATTTTTGCCCCTGGGTTAATTTTCCCAGTTAATCAGGCCCTGCTCGGGTCAAGTTCAGTACTTTTCAGTTTTGAGCCCAGCTCCTCAGTGCCAAAATACAATGTCTCACCTGAACACCTCCCGAGCCTGGCCGCTCTCCGGTGACGTCTCCCTGAAGAAAGGTACGACCCGGGACAGGCTGGCCCCCCCGCGGGAGGCCCCGCT